GAAGACTATTTACATTGAGACAGGCAGTCGAAGCCTTGAAGAGCCGTCGGGGATCTTAAGTGCGATGACAGTGCACAACATGTCGGAATCAAGTCGGATTTCCCGCATCACCACCGGAGATTTTATGGAAATCTATCCCGAGCAACTGGACGCATTTTACTACATGCGGGATTCTAACATGCGACAGGATGATTCCACATCAAATCTAAAAGACCAAATTGTCCATGATGGCGAGTTCATCAGTTTTGTGTTCATGCTGCACGACTTTGTTGGCTACTTGTTTTTTTTAGGTATGTATGGAGGTCGTCCATGGATTCATGTATCGCCTTACGTCCCTGCCCGGTGGGCGGAAGAAGTGAACGAGAAACGCAAATTGTTCGAAGCTGGAACAGGGGATCAACCAATATCTGGGCAACAGAATCACTTCACGGATTATCTCAGTTTGCCTATCGAAGGATATCGTAGGTTGGAGGCGCTAGCAAGGAAGGCACGCTCGGAAGGGAGTGTACAATGGAATGTAAACATATCCGTCAGAGACGCGAGAAGGCAGGAACTCTAATCATTCATATGCGGCTCTCAAGGTGCATATGGCAGCGACAAGAAGCATATCGCTGGACGCGGGGTCGGATATATTGCTTTCTTTTCTGATCTCTTACAGCAATTCCTTGGCCTTACTCTATTCCCGAAAAGAACTAAACAGGGCTGCAGATTACATTAAATGAGAATAGGCGAAGTAGATAACCCAACACGAATGTAGGCTTTGGGGTGTTCAGTCATTCGCTAAGTTAATGTAGGCTCAACGAACTCTCGAGCCTTCTTCAATAAGAGTATGACAAACCCCTTCAACACTCTACCTGCGCCACCTCCACCACCCCCAAAACCTCCTTCTTCTCGGCCTCCCGGGCCCATTCTCAACACAAGCCGCCCTCCTCAACTCCTCTTCTCTCCCATGCCGCTCCACCATCTCCAAGCTAGCCGGCGGCGCCGCTAGCCGTCGCTGCTCGTCGCTTATAGCCCTGTTGACACTTATGCACCTCCTCGAGATGGTTGTAGCAATATCCAATAAGCCATGCTCTTCAGCTAGATGCCGCACATCCTGTGCTAAATCCATGATGCTGAAGAAATCCGAGTCTGGGTCGACTTGTCCGGTGCGGGTGACGGACGCAAGATCATGCGTGAAGTCGTGGGCGAGAATGGCTTCGGCTTGGAGAGTGACGAATTCCCGCATCGACATTTGAGCTGCTCGAGGTGGAAGAACGGTCGCAGGCTCATCCGGTGGGGGCACCTGCCCATCGGCCGATCCTTCTTGCCGTGGATATTCCGCCATCGTTCCCCAAATTCTCATTTGATGCCTCCTTCTCTCAAATAATCCCCTCTCGCTCTTCCTCGCATTTCTCTCCTCACAGTCCCTCCCAACCATGTCCGCAAACCCAGCAAGCGAATTTGATATCTTGTCAACAGCGTCGCGTCCCTGTGGATACCTATCCCGCATTTTCTGCAGCGCTCCCAACGCCTCTTCAACGAGACCAGGCATCTCCTTCAGTTCTTGCGATATCTCTTCGGGATGCGTGGGGAAAAAGTCTTGACGGCATAGCGGGCAGGTGCTTGCGTTGTCGAACCAGGTTTCGATGCAGGATGCGCCGAAGATGTGGTCGCATGATGGCATTTTTAGTGCGTGGTGGCTTTTTGTAGCAGCAGTGTCGGCACACAGCTCGGCACAGATTGGGCAGATATGGGGTGAGGCGTCTTTGGAGGAGGAAGTTGTATGCGGAGAGGTATACAGGGCTGTGTTGCTGAAGGCTTCGCGGGTGTTGTAGAGTGGTGCCATTTCGGAATGTGGATTTGAATGTTGTTCGCGAAGATTTGTGGGAATGTCTCTTGAGGCGGTTTTGGAAGTGGGAGTTGATGCAAATTTGGAATGTGCAAGATGCGCTTCTATTCCAAAATGAAGTCTTTGCATTGATACCATGGTTCTTTGCATAGGGGCTATGCGTCTGACTCATGGTTGGCGATATCCAGGTTTGGCACTGACGAACCAAAGTTGAGGGAGTTCAAATCACAACTTTGGAATCGGCACACAACGCAAAAGCAAACCAGGTCTACAGCCTACATCAATACAAGAATATGAAAAGTAGGTAACCTGACGTTGGTGTAGGCTCTAGGCCTTCTTGAAGATATCACGGAACGTTTTAATGATAGGTATGATGAGACCCAGATGTACCGCAACACGAATGATCAAAGCACTGTTCTAGATACCAAATAACGTTCCATGAATTTTGAGAGAACAAAGAACCGCGATAGCTTCGCCACGATAGTATAGAGGCACCAGCTGAATCATACGGCCGAGACATTGAACGCCGCTGAGACGTTGATGTACTCGCCTTCGAAAGCCATGGCATCGTCGCCATCAAGCATTTCTCGGGAGTCTCTGTCGACGTCGGCGTCATCATCCGCATCGATATCCTCCCGCGATACTCCAGTCAGTTCTGGCGCCCACCTAGCCTTCACATTGAGAGTGTGTGGATAGTCCACCCGCATTTCGACCATGACACGCAGCGTGATCTCGTAAAAGTCATCACCTTTTGAGCCAACCCGACACTCTTCGCCGACGCTCTGCTTGAGTGCACTCAAATCGTAGTGGATTGTCCCCAGCACTTTTGCGCCCTTGTTTTCTTTGTCATCGGAGCGATACCACGATTTCTTTGGTCCTTGGGGCGTGTACCAAATTTGCTCCTCAGCTATCCACCGCTTTGAGAGATGGAATGAATGAGTAGACGTGAAGAAGTATTGGCGGCCCGGTGGAAACACATCTCCTTTCTGCGCGAAGTATTCGAGACAGTTGAATATGTAGAGTTTGCCATCGTTACCCGGTTCGCTACGGGCTTTACGTAAATGCCGAAGCTGGGGGTGTTCTTTGAAGAAACGGGTGCTTCGACTGTTCCATTCTTTGGGAAGGTGTCGTTCGATAGCGAAGCTGGCGCGCAGGAATCGATTTGGGGGGAACATCTTTACTTTGAGGGCTTTGAGCCCTGCACCACCGGTGACTGCGTAGGTTCTTGTAAAATTTAGTCTACTTGCTTCGAAGTGTACTCAGGGCTGGTTTGCTTACGAGTATTCCTTTTCGTCGGTATGCTCTGGGACATGTTCCCAGGTGGCCATATATCGCTTTCCTTTGGCTCGAAACGACTTGCTGTCGGAAAATTGTCCGACCCAGACGACAGAATCGATGCGCTCTCCCTTGGCTACAACGAGGGAATGTTGTTCGTCAATGATCTTGATCAGACCGTCATGAGCAGGTTTGTACACTCGAATCCATTCATCTCTTTGCTATATCAGTACTTTGGCGGGTCTAGCAAAGACCATATACATACGATGTAAGTTTGAGGGTATGAGGAAAAAGCCCTCTTGCCGGATCCGATTTGAGACCCTGGATGTTGAATCCGGTTGGCGGCTTAGTCGTTGGATCACTAGATGAGCGTTTGATGTCAGACTCGTACTTTTGCACCACTCCCGCAACAATACCAGGCACTGTTATGTCCGCATATTGTTCACCAAGATATGATTCTGATGCCAGCTTCTTTGTGACAATGTCTCGGAGAACCCGGTTTAGCGAATCGCCTCCATGAGAGTCACCTAGATCGGCTTAGTGATCATGGGGCTATGACTGAGATGAGTGCTAAGCTTACTGCTCATCGGACAAATTTGCTCCCAGCGTACTGGATCATTGCGTGTCTTCTTGAGTGTGATCATCTCGATAGTACCACCTCCAGCATCGATGACGGAAACACAGGATCCAATCTACAGCGAGATTAGCTTAGCGCGGTGATAAGAAGGTATTCTGACGTACTCCGACCTCAGTGCCCTTTAAGGAAAGACAATAAGAAGCGGCTGCCTCAGGCTCTGATACTGTTGTGATGCTGGGTGGTACTTGTAGGTCCCACACCTCCACTATCGCTTTGACAATGGCCGTATAATATCGATGACAGGATGTTACGCCCCAGTCACTAGGGACGGAGATAACAAATTCGGGGCGCGCAATCCCCATATCGAAGGATTCCTCCTTTGCGAACCTGAACCACTCTGTGAAGTAGTCACTCATGACATCATCTCGTTCGCGGATGTACCCATCTCTTATAAGGCCATCGAGTTGTTTTTCGAGGTCGTTGCGAACCTCTAAAGTCGCGTCGGTGTCGTCCAGCATCAGTTTGGAGAGACGCACAAGGCGATCACCATTTTGATGGATCTCCCCATGAAACGTGCTCAGTAGTCGGGACACGCTCCAGCCCCAGGATCGGTCGTCGTCCTGGACATAGTATATATGCGTCGGTACAAAATCGTTGTGCTTGTCGTTGGGACAAATGTCTTCGTCATATCCGTGGAGATAATCGATATGGTCTTTGCTGATCAAATTGACGTCTTGCCTGGCAGGGACATGGATGCGGCCCATCTTTCCGTATGTGGTCCCCCAATCAATGATCAGGAAGAGACGATCGAGATCGGAGATATCCGAAGTGTTGGGGGCCATTATCTCGCCAATTTCCGAGAAAACGACAGGTAGAAACAGGAACAAAAGGAGCGAAGCAGGCACGCAGCTACGCTTATTGTTCGCTAATATTGCCACGGCTACGTGCAGCGCCTAGGCGCATGGTCTGTCTCACGTATACGTCAGATAGGAGCGGCCAATATGCGCGGAGCTCTGGCTGTATTTCGATGTGGCATGGGAGCAAACACTCTAAGACACGCGTGTCTTTAGTCAACAAACCTACGATGGGCAGCAGAACACACCTCTCTTCTCCTTGTGCTTCTGACATAACACAATTCGTTCTGACATCCCCAACCGTCAACTAGCTTCTGGACGCTCGACTCGGCGTGCATTCCTTTCTACCAGCAGAATTTCGATGGCGCGCCACCGCTGGACCGTTCAGGATGATGCCTTACTATTTGCATGTGCGCAATACTGCTTCCAGCACGATCTCAGCCTCATAGCGAATACGACCACGATGTTCAAGCGTGCGGGCAAAGACCGTACCAGAGAGGCCATCAGATGGCGTGTGCAGCAGTATGGTCCCGTCAAACAGTTTGAAGAGCACGGCATCTCATTCCAGGATCTCTCCCCAGCCTTCGAGAGAGAGATTGCAGCACAGACGCGCCGGATTCTCTTAGGGCCTGGTCCTGCAGCAGCCAGCGAGACCGGTACTGCGATAGTTCGGCAGAAGATGCGCGAGGCGAGTCTAATAGAAGCGGCGAATGTAAGATTTCGCATGCAAGTGAGCAGTCGCAGTCTCGAATAAATGCTAACAGTATCGAAGTCGGCGCGTGCAACAAGAGCGAAGAAGCGCGCTGCCTCACATGATATCGAGACCCGCGCACGGAAAAGGCATCCAAAGACACCCGCGGGCCGCGAACGGGGTACAAAGACAAGTCCATGGAAGATAGTGGAGGAAGAGGAGCGGATGGGAGGAACTATAAGTGAAGAGGTACAGGCCGACGACGGGTCGATGGCTCATGACGCTCTGGTGGCGAGGAGCTCCGCAAGATCCGCGGGTGGCTCGCCGTATGGCGCGAAGACACCAGAAAGCATGCCCGTCGATGAAGTTGTTGATCGAGGAGCGATAACACCGCCATGTGTATGGTAACTATCGTGCTGTCGGAAGAGGTATGTGCTGACTGAAGTCCAGGCGAGCCCAACGAATGCCGGCGCTAGTCGCACTATTTCCCCAGCCGAGTCCCCCAACGCTGCCGACGCTCCGCGTAGCCCTAGACGCGTCGCAGCAACAACGACGGCCTCAAATTCCATTAACCCGATCCACACACCGATCATCGCATATCTTGAGAAGAGGCTTGAGGATGCTGGACGCCAGTTACAGCTAGAGCAGGCCGGCATCAATACCCAACGCAAAGAGAACGAAGAACTGCGCCGCCAGATCGGAAAGCTCACGACTCCCAACAATGCTGCACTGCGCCAAGCGGCCCGTGATCTCGAACTGGAGCGGGCAACACTCGTTTCCGAGAAGCTCACGATTAACTCGCGTCATCAAGATGCTATACGATGCTTAGAGGAACTTCTTGAAGCCAAGGCAAAGCATATCGGACAGCTACAATGCCTTCTCAACACTCTAAGAGGCCCTCAGCTGGTCTCCAGATCTCAAGGCTACCCGATCGAATATGATGCTGGGTCTCTGCGTGCCGACTGGTGTCAGAATGTTGCTCGGTTGGCATCTGACTGCCGGCCATACGACATGGCAAGATCCCTTCGCGCTGAAGAGCAGGTACCCGTCAAGCTTGAGGCTGCCATGCGTGCTGTCACTGGACTCTCCGTGGCACAAACCGGGAACCTGACGCTCGCTGAGTGCTTCACTAAAACCACGGCCATGCCTACGGATGTCAACATCCAGATTGCCTGTTTCATGAATCATGCTCTACGATGGTGCTTCAATACAGCGTTCCATACCAAGGGGCTGAAGTCGGAGAAGTTGCACGAAATGTGGCACTCGATTGCGTCACTCAGTCAGTAACACCCCCACAACTAATACGTTCATCAACTAACGACTACAGATGGACTCAAATGTGTACGAGAACTAGACACCATGGCTACCCTAGATAAGATCGGCAATGAGTACTTTCGCAAGAACCAAATACCGACGAAGGCCAAAAGCCAGATGGCAATCTTCATCAAAGAGTGCCGCAGCTTCATTCCCTGGCTCGATAGCGCGAAGTTGCGTCCGAAGCTCGATGATTGGCTTCAGTCCACCATGGAGATGAAGTTGGAGCTTCTTGTGTCAAGCCATCACCACAAACTCGCCTTCCCACCACCTGGCGCACCTTACGACAAGGACACCATGGAAGGTCAAACTGAGGACGGAAACAGACAGGGCCCCAAGGATAATCCAGCTGACTATCGAGTCAAAATCTGCGTCTGTCCTGCGCTTCATACGTGCGTCCCAGAACCAGAACTACCAGACTGTGACGGACCTTCCTTCAAGGCGGAGAAGTACAAAGATGCTTTGCTCGAAAACAGGGACTTCTTCGCTGAAGAACCGGGCAAGTATCAGGGCTGGGAAGGAGTTGTTTTGGTATCGCGCGCTATCGTCTTCGTCGAGAAGTACCCTCAACAGTCCCAGGTCATGCCAGAGCAGAGTCAATCGAAGCAGACTCTACGGATTCGACTAACCCCAAGCTTGGCAGAAGATACCCAGGACGTGGCTGAAGGCGGGGAGGATGGCATGAGCAGCGAAGACGACGCCAAACTGTGAGGTAGCAAAGCGCAACATACATAGCAACTAATCCCACACCTTGCCAACCACAACCACCGCTACTACATATCCAGCTCTCAACGTACACAACCAAAAAGCAAGAACACCAACACCTACCCAACAACCCTCCCAAACCCAAACCCCCTAACCCCATTACTAACCCACACCCCCTCCCCCACTTCCACAGTCTCAATCCCCACCGGCTCCTCCATACAAAACCCACTTCCCAGCGCCCACCTCCGACTCGTGCCCCTCTGCCCCCCAGCCCCCACTTTGACACTCCTCGTACTATGCCCCCACCTCCCCGCAAACGGCTTCCTTAACTCCCCCTCATCAGCCCCATCATCCCTCAACGTCTTGCTCGAAAATTCGCTTGACGGCACGCCTACAGGCGGCGTAACCCACCTCCCCCCACGGAATAGGTACAGAGACGTTAGCGTGCCTTCGGTTAGCTCGCGGACTTCGTTGTAGAGCATGACTTCGCGGTAGGCGGGGCCTGCGGGGTTGGCAGGGAGAGCGCGTTCGCGGCTTTGGTCGTACATTTCGCGTTTTGTGGTTTTGAGGAGGGTGAAGGGGGAGGAGGGGGTGGGGGAGGTGTCGACGGCGATTTTCCATTCTGGTGGGGGTGGAGGGGGTTGGGAGGATTGGGAGGAATCGCCGGCTGGGAGGCTGTCTGTGGGGCCGAGGTGGAGGGCGCCGTCTGTTAGGGGGGAGGGCGTGAATGGTTTTGTGGTAGTGTTGGGGTTGGGGTTAGCAGGATGGTGGGGTGGGGATAGAGATGGTGGGTCTAGAGATGGGGGGTAGAGTGTTGATAGGGGGACAGCTGGGATTGGGGTAAATTCAACGGTTAGATTGGCGGCTTTGTCGAATAAGAGGCGTAGCTGGGTTGTTCTTAGTAATGTGTAGGGATGGGATGGTCTATCGCAGGTCGTACCTTCATTGCTTCATCTTTTCCTGTTTTCTTGATCTCATCTTGCACTCGCTTCAACAGTTCCTCATGCAGAGCCTTCCCATCTTTCAGTCTTTTCTCGACTTCGAAAAAGTCAAAGTGCTGTGCGGCTTCCACCATCCGGTCTCGGTGGTATGCGAGCATGTAGAAGGGTGACGGTGTGACGAAGTTCAAGATGGCTTTTGAGTTTTCCTCGGATTGGAGCAGTAATGGATCGTATCTCAGGGATGTGAAGAGCTGGAACTCATCTTCTGATGCCATGATGAGCCGCTCGTGATGGTGATGACTCCTCGTGAATGCTGAGATGCTGGTGATAACAGGTTGTTCGACAGATGTCTTTGAACTTGACGATGAGAGCTGATCTCGAGCCAATGTTGCATGCAGATATACGACGATGTTGTGTCGTATAAAGACTTGCCTGTGTAGATGTACGACAGATGTGCTGTCATTGATGGTGGGTCAGCGAGTTGACCGTCCAATCCGTTCCGAGCGGACCTTAGCCCGGATTTGGTTCCGAAGTCTGCTGATTGGTCAGGACGCGTACTGCATAGAACTTCGTGAACTCTGAATCTGGATTTGTTAACGTGTGATGCTCTGTTGCGATTTCCTTGGCTATCTATACTTCGTGCTATGTCTAGTCATCTTACTATTGGCGACAGTCTTGATGCACCACATTAAAGGGGAAAATGCTGATTATGCTCCATCCAAACCACCATTCCAACACAACAACACCTTCACGAGAACCACACCTAGAACACCAACCTCCCATTGGCCCGGTGCAAATTCCGCCACAATCCACAGCACCAACTCCCACATACTCATATCGGAAAGACCATACCCAGCATTCGAAAACGATTACCTTACTCAGTAAACACAAGGCAACGCTGTAGATGACTGTAGAAAAGCGGTGTTGACCTCCACCCAACCATGGTGCTGGAAGTAAGAACCACGGCTGGGGCCGAGAAAGCTCCCTTACCAATTAGAGAAAGCGAGCATGTGGATCGCAAGTCTGGTGCGGAAGTTAGGACCGAAGCTGTGACAAGATGTCCACGGGTGGGTAAGAAGCGAGATGATGACATGATGACATGAGGCTGGTCAGGGGCGCGTGTAAGGAGTTGCTGTGTGTCTGCGCGTAGTGCGTCCGAGTGAAGGTTCATTTTCCCTTTATTCTAATCTACGACCGCAGATGATGTTGCGGATCTGTTGTGACGCTCAATGAAGAATGTATCACTACATACGCCAGGGCATCGCTGGCCGGGGGCAGCGTATTAGGCCCTTCCTCTTCAGCTATCATGCAACTCAGCAGGTCTCTACGACCTCATTCAGCCTGTGAAGCCACAATCACCCCGTGCGCGTCGCCACGCGTTTGAAGATCTGACGCGGACGCTCTTGCGCAGCAGCAGGTGGATTCCACGAAGGACGAGCCTTCGTTGGCTTCAGTGAAGCGGCACCCCCAACTGCGCCCCTCTGAGCACTGATCAAAGCCTCTATGACAGCGGCAGCTTCTGCGCGCACATCTACATACTTGGCCGGGACAAGAGGCGGCTCAACGTGGAACCTCAAGCTGCCCGTCAAATCCAGTGTATTGCCCGCGCGCAGCGTATCCAAAAGACCTGGCTGGCTCTTCCGGATCTCAGGATAGACAAATTTGCCATTCTCGTCGTATCCGCGGGCTTGCAGCTCTTCTTTGATAGCGTTGCGCAGACGCCGTCTAGCCCATGTTCTTACACAGCTGGACTTGTTCAGGTCGGCAGGGGTAGTCGCATGCCACCACAGTCCCTCCTTCTTCTTCTCTCTCTGTCTGCGGCGCTGCGTCTCGCAGAGGGGGTGCTGGGGATCGGACGCGACGTGGTTGAGGATGAAGTGCTTGTAGTCGGTGGCATAGCTGACTTTGAACGTGCGCGGCTGCTGTCTGGCGAGGAGCGAATAGACGGCATTCTTTGACATGGCGGTCCCATGCCTCTCGTGTGTATGCACGGTGACGTAGGGTGAAGGAGCAGCGGGTGGGGGTGAAAAGGCTCGAGGACCACGGATGGATTGATTTTCGGCCGGGTGAGCGACGGTGCGCTAGGCTGTAAACGGGCTTAGCGCGCAGTGTCGAAGGCTCCCACAGTGAGTCGGAATCCACAGTGCAAACAACCGTCGAGCCGCCACTACATAAAGACTTGCGCCCGCCGACGCTTCTGCCACCAACACCAAACACAACCCCACCCATACTCACACCAACTTCGACTACCACCCACCATGCCGAAGAACAAGGGAAAGGTACGTTCAGTGCTCTTTTGGAGGGGCTGCCCCGCCACTTCTCCCAGCGCCTGACGCCCAAACCTCACGGCGCGGCATACCTATTTGCATGCCTGGGAGACATGGCGCGCCCTCTTCACCCCACTATACATGTCTCTGTATATACTAACATCTCTACCAGGGAGGTAAAAACCGACGTAGGGGTAAGAACGAGAACGACAACGAGAAGCGCGAACTCGTCTTCAAAGAAGAAGGCCAAGAATACGCCCAAGTCGTCAAGATGCTCGGAAACGGTCGTCTGGAAGCCCAGTGCTTCGACGGCGCCCGCCGTCTCGCCCATATCCGCGGCAAGCTGAGGAAGAAGGTCTGGATCAACCAGGGTGACATTATCCTGCTGTCGCTGCGAGACTACCAGGACGAGAAGGGTGATGTTATTATGAAGTACTCTGGTAAGTCTACACACTCACTAAAAGTAACAAGGCTTGCTGGGCATGATATTGACTTGGTACAGCCGACGAAGCCCGCTCATTAAAAGCCTACGGCGAACTCCCCGAAAACGCAAAGATCAACGAGACAGACACGTACGGCGACCAGGGCGACGAGGGCATCGGTTTCGAGTTCGACGAGGACCGCGACGACAGCGATTCGGACGAGGCCGACGGTACCGGCAAGAAGGAGATTGATATTGACGACATTTGAGGGGGAGGCTGCGCAGATCCGCCATGCTGTCTCGGCTCCTGCTTTGCGGCTGCTGCTTTGCTGTGGCGGGGGCCGGGCTGCTCAAATGCTGCTTCTTGCGAGCGGGCGGATGGTTTGAGGGATGTTGATGTTGAGGACACATGGTTCCGTATGGATGATCATGAGGTTGTTCGGCATGTTTTTATGTTACATGCTTATGGGCTTTTCGGGAAAGCATGATGGGATAGAGAAATGATACACGCATAATCTTCGTCCAAACTACAACTTCCCAAGATTCCTGTTTTCTACCTTCTAACATCCCAACCCCTAACTAAACCCCTGCAACTGCACCTCCTCATACACACTCCTGTTAAAAAACCTATGCACCCTCCTCCCCACATCCGTGCCCACCAACCAACAAATCTCCCTCTCAGACATATTCGCCACCTCAAACACACTCTCGCTCTTCAGCATCAACGTCGACACCACATTCTCATTCACCCCCGGCAGCGCCCTCAGCATATCCTGACTCGTCTGATTAAAACTGCGCATCTCATCCCCACTCTGATTCGGATCCAGCCCCAACCGCACCGCCCTCATCGGATCAGGCTCATCCTGCTGTTTCTTGAGCTCTGAGAAAATTTCAGCCGTTTGATAGGGACTGCTACTCCAAATGATTCTCAAGCGCGGGAAAGCGAGCGTGAGCATAACGAGTTTGGACTGGAGGTCTGGTGTTGTTGCGGGTCCGTTTGCAGAGGACGAACTACTACTGCTGCCGGCTGAGTAGTCGGTGAAGGGTTCTAAGGTGAAAGACTTGTTTTGGTCGAATTCAATGAGCAGCATGGGGTGTTTGTAGTGCTCCATCATGGATTCGACTTGGTTGAAGAGGCGGCCGTTGGCGAAGGATTGGATTAGGTCGCGGATGGACTTTCGCTCGATGCAGATTTGCGGGGTGACGACGTAGTCGCCGACAGTGAGCATGCAGGGGACTATTACGATGGACCGGCCGTGGAGGAGCGAGGGGAGTGAGGACCGGAATTCTCGGACGTCGACGACGACGCGCGGAGGTTCGGTGGTGGCGGCTAGGCGGCCGCCGCCGGCTATACGTGTGTTGATTGTGCGCAGGAAGGATTCTTCGGGCGCGAGGTTGGCGGTGGAGTTCATGGTTAGGGCCATGTTTGCGCGCTCTTTGATTAGTCGGGTGAAGGCGTCTTTTTCGCGGCGCACGGCGGAGAGGTAGCGTTGTTCTTCTACGCTGCCGCCGTAGTACATGAAGAAGACTTTCACTGTTCGGTCGGTATGGGATGATCGGTATACTTCTATCCGCCGGATGAACGCTGCGTCGGGCTCGTACATGATGACGTATCGCGGCTTTGTCTCGTCGAGGATGTGCTCATCTAGATCTCCGGAGTAGGGGTGTACGATTATCAGGGAGTTCATGTCGAAGAGCTCGTAGAAGCTTTCCATGTTGTCGAGAGGGTCGAATCCCACGTCGCCAGGCTTTTGTGCTGATTCGATCTCGGTGGGTTCCAGTTCGGCCATTAGACTCGCAATGTGGGCGTCGCGGTCTCCTGCTGTGCGGACAGCTCCTGTATCAGACCGCGATGGTCCTGCTGCTGCGTTTCCGCCTCCTCTTATGCGGCGCCGCTTGTTAGGCGGAGGTTTACCAGAAGTCTGGCGCATACCGCTCTGAACGTTCTTGTCTGTGCTGGTGTTGATGGCTTTCTGATTCTCCGAGAACAACGCAGCGCTGACCTTGCTGAAGTCGCGCTTCCATGTGAGATAGCTCCGTAGCTTGCGTCGCATCATGAAGTTCGCCGATGGCTCGTACTCGTCTTCTTCCTCGTCTGCAACGCCCTCTGGCTTGACGTACATGGTCTGCAAATACTCTCTTAGCTGCGACGCTGTACCTTGGTCGCCGCACATGATGAGTATAGAGCCGTTGGACGAGTCTTGCGGTGTTGGGTTGAAGTAGGCATCTTGCTCTATCTCTTGGAGAATTTCTGCGAGCTGGGTCCACTTGGGAAATTCCTCTAGGACAGGCTGCAGAGACTCTGGCACAGCATTGGAGGCGTTCGCTAGTTCCGCGTTGGATACCTTGCCCGTATATACTCTTCGCTTCGCAGTAGTAAAGATGGTATCGGCCGCGTCTAGGAATAACCAAGGAGACTGGTTCTGCTTTGTTGACCCTGGCGGCGGCTGCGAGGCTGCAAGCACGGTATCGAGGTACTTGTTGAAGTTCACCGCATCATAGGTAAGAAGGGCATGCAGAATAGTGCGAAGCAGGGACAGATCTCGGACGACCTGTCGCGTCTTGAACGTTGTGCGATGCCAGACGGGATCTAGTTGACGTCTGATGATTTGATCAAAATTCTTGTGTAGGGCACTGTCCACATTCCAATCCTCCATCTCCACGCCTGGGTTCGCTTTCTTGAGCTCGCTGATACTGGCCTCTACACAGGCTAGTACCGCGTTCTGTATGTCTTGCATGGCTTCCGTCATTGGTACTTCCAGCTCAATGACTTCCGCTTTCTTGCGTCCCTCGAGCGAGTTCGCGACTGCGACGTGGAATCTTGGGTATAGCGCCGGTTTCGTCAGGAACAGGTTCTTCATCATGTTCGTGAGCGGAGCGAAGCCAGTCGTGAAGGGCTCTGGCGTATCTGAGAACGCCTTTAAGAAGCCTGCCTTGTTCTTCTGCCGGTATATTCTCAAGATGAAGGCCTCTAAAGATGTCGCGACGACCCTTTCGGCATGCAGCACCACCACACCCGTCACCGTTTCCGGATTGAGTAGCCCGGACAGGAAGTCCACAATGAGGATGCGCGACGTGATGCTGAAGATCCCGCCTTGGGCATACATCTTCTCACGTGTCCCAACGCTCATCAGATCGGTATTGACCAGGCTCAGGCCGCGACACTTGGGCGCATTGCTGACGGCTGCGTGCTCAGCCAAGGCCTCGCCGATCCAGACATTCTCGCGATCGTCGGCTCCCACGAGCAGTATAAGGTTGTTCCCGGCGGCATCGTAGGAGTGGAGGAGGTTCGTGACTATGCGCAGAAGGCCGAGGCCGCGCGCGAGGAGGACCAGCTCATCTTCCTCGCGCAGTTCGTTGAAGATGTCCTGCTGGAACTCCTATGATGTCATTAGTGTCGTATCTACAGATGTTCTAGAGCGGGCTTACGAGAGGCAACGAGAGCTTCACGGGGGCTTGCGCATCGTTGGGCATTGGATCCTGCTTCAACGGTCGTGGTGGGGCGAGAGGAAGGTTTGGGGCTGGTTCGCGCGTAAGTTCCCGAGGTCGCGAAACTTAGACGCTGTCACGAGATCGATCCCGGACGGATGTCACCTGAGCAGAGGCCTCGCCTCATTTCAGACATCCATGGACTCAACTATGGCTGACATTGGATATGAACGGTACGTCATAGGTTTTGCAGACTGCCTCGATTTCCAGGAAGCCCCCGGCCTTGATGGGAAGCGTAGATTCGTGATACAGGTAAATATACAACAACGAAAAGGAAGTCATCTAGCATGGGTCTGCTACTGCGTGCTAGCCCTGATCTCTGCTTGTCTTCTCCGACCCTCAGCAGCATATGCGTCGCGCTCCTCTCTGCGGATCTGTTGTTCTGTCTCAGACCTCTTCGCATCCATTTCCTTCTGTGCAGCCCAGACTAATTTCGTTAGCGCGGTCTCGAAGATGACTGCAGAAGCAACACTTACTCGGCTTGTCTGAACGCGAAGCCTCCTTCAATTGGCCAACAAAGGCGTCAAAGTCCTTCTGCCTCTGCTCCCTTCCGGCAAGAGCCTTCTTCTGCAGTTCTGGGCTATACCTCTGCATGGATCATGAGCAGCTGTTGGGCGCAGCACGTGGCAAAGTAGACTTACCTTGAAGATTTCTTCCTCAGTAGGTGTAACCCACATGACGAGTGCAGGGCCGCCGATGCACAGGATTCCGCCTCTGTTTTGTCATCAGTTTATGGCCAAGCAACGAGCATGTATCTAACGTACCCTGCGATGGCTTTGATGTAGGCAGCGGTAGATGGCATGGTGTGTCTTTGGTGACGGTCTGGATATCGGGAAGTCTACTGTCTAGATTGCCTGCTTGTTGGCAGCGTATGCTCCAGGGTATCGTGTTGGGGTGGAGACTCGTGCAGCTAGAGTGGTGAAGTCGACGATCCACCCAACTGCCGGACTGATTGTCTAACAAAGCTAGCCTGCTGCGCCACTCTCAGTCACGTGTGTCGTGCAGCACCGCCCGACGCCACCGGAGCTGCATCGTCGGGACCCAACTGCTTGCAGGCGGCGAACGCTTACCCGAGCCTAAGGCCCAGCGATCACCGTCGACCCTGCGCTCATTGGTAGGCCGTTCCTCGACTGCATGATGTGTATGATCTCCAGCGGCTCTGCGACTTGGTTCGTATAGGGACTGCTTGACATCAGCTCATTCGGGCTGTTTTGCGCAGGGCTGATACTGATCGTCTCCATATTTCTCCAGTCACTTTAGCTGGCGGTGCTACTCAGGGCAAATTCAAAGGCTTCATTTAATCTACTCGCGTGCGAATCAATCCACCGACAACGATTCGTCTACTCCAAGGTCCCTTGTCCGCGTTTCAAGGCGAAGGACGCCAAAGCGGGACTTTTGCTTATTCATTTCCTGTGTTGCACCAGCGCCGTGTGGGTGACAGACCTGGGTTGAAACGTAATCGAACTAATTGGAGGTCACCCCGTGTTTGAGGAGGCAGCGGCCGCCCCCAATTGGCGTCGATTTCCAGAACATGTACAATTGAGAGTTCGACTATAGACTTTCCACCTTCACCCCATCGTCATCCCGCCTTTGAAAGGTCGTCCCTGTGCTGAGTGGGCATATGACACCTCTTTGAGTTTGTGCCACCCCTGTCAGGTACGACATTGCCCGGAACACGGCCAACTGCCAACACCGTCATCGCGATCGCACGTCGACGACCAGCATCCGCTACAAACAGGCCGAACGAGCCCAGGCTCTCGCGATCGCGATTGCGCCCCAGATACCTTAAGAGCTGCAGCCCCGCCGGTCGGACATCACCAACGCTCGCTAGCCTCGTGATAGACAGCCTCGGGTCAGGCTTCTCCGATAACGCCGCAAGCATGGCGCACCAACAACACTACGATCACTACGCCCAGCCGCAACAGCAGCAGCAGTACTACGACCAAGGCAGGCCGCAACAGAGGCAGCCGCAGCAATACCAGAATTACGACAACCAATATGACCAACAACAATACTACGACTACGATTACGGCTATGACCAGGGCGGCCACGAGCAATGGAACAACGGACACTATGACCAGCAAGGAGGATGGGACAACGCGCAGCAGCACGGCGGCTATCAGGACGTGAATGGGCACTCGAGGTCAGCCCAGCCAGATCAGCGACGTAGACAGCCCCCGCAAGACCAGTATTATCAGGAGGAGGCATACAGCGACCAGCACTACCAGCAGTCGCCCCCGCAAAACCCAGGACGGAGACCGCCTCCTCAGAGTCAGCGTCCTCAGCAACCTGCCTACAATGAGCCTCCGCGACAACGACCACCACCACAACAACAGGATCCCCGAAGCCGTCCGGCAGGTCAGGGGAATGCGCCACCCATCAACACGCAAAATGGACGAGGTGTCCAGAGGCCACCAGGTATGTCGCGACATCCTGATTCACCCCTACATAATAGACATGGCACGGCGGGTCTTCATCATGATATAGTCTACTAACCATCGTTGACAGGCCTCGACCGCTCCCTCTTCAACCCAACATCACCCAAGACTCTTGCCTACGACAACCCGTTCCCGACCTTTCCTTCGCAAAAGCCACCGCAAGCTGGCTCGAAGCCCCTCGAAAAGGGCATGGCACAGATGAACATCAAGGACGGTGGAGGACAGCCGAAGCCTACAGGCCCATCTGGGCGAGGACAGCCTATGCCACCACAAAACCGCGGCCCACCACAGCAGAGGTCAATACCCAACCCGCGGCAGGACTCGGGACATTTCGAAGGCCAGGGTCAACGCAATGCCCCTAATCGCATGCCGCCCGGACAGCGACCACCACCCATGAGCGCCGATCCCAGTCGAGGACAGCAGCCACATCGCACATCAGACCCGATGTCGCGAGCTTTCGGTCCGAACACACAGCGATCCGTGACAATGCCCCAAACACTGCCAAATGGGAATCAAGGTGGATACAACGGTCAGCAGGAGTTCGCTGAGCCCGGTGCTGTTTCCGGCTACTATGGCCCGGCATCGCCAGATCACATCCCTCCCAGGCCTTCGACTGCGGGCGGGACGAGGCAAAACGGGCCACCGATGCAGCAGGGACATAGGCCTCCTATGCCCCAACCGCCGCAACAGCAACCACCAACTCAATACCGCCAGCAAGACCAGCGTCAAGCGCCAATTCAGCAGCAACAGGCTCAGGGTGGCGAACCGGCACTGGACGACTTCTACGATGACTACTATGGGCAGGGCGACGCTGCGATGGACATGCCCAACTTCGATGCCATCCCAGAGACCAACAACAAGCATCGCAGAGGTGATTCAATCGACAACCACTTGACTCCATCTAACGATACGCGCTATGCTCCACAGCCTGCACCCATGAACCCAGGATCCGGCAATCCTCAGGGCCAGATGCAGCGTAGCCGATCACAGCCAGATCTTAACGGGCAGTACGCAAATGGCGTGCATGAAATGGCGGCAGATGCTCCCCCGATGCCAGGTCCGTCACGGGCAAACACTGGCTTTGCGCCCCCGAATGGTCTACCCGACGGTGTCCGGGGACGAGGGCCACCTCAGAGGGGAATGACGGGTGATGGCATGCAAGGTGCACCACCCAACCAAGGTCCAATGCGTGGACAGCCGCCCAATTTTGACCCACGATATGGAGGGCCCCCTCCAGGCCCCCAAAGGGTATACTCGGATGAGACTACTTACTCTGAGCCGCCTCCAAGCATGAACAGGAACTTCGGATCGCCCGCACCCGGACACCCTATTCAACGACCAGGAACAGCTGCACCTGCACCGGGACGAAACCCAAGCGATCCTATGGGCAGAAGACCTGGCACTACTCAGCCACCGTCGAATCCAGACGCCTTGCCAGCGCACCCCATGCCTGTACGACAAGGTCTCATGCAGCAGCCACCGCGGCAGCAACCACAAGCAAATCAGCCCCAGGTGCCCCAGAACGCAAGACCGCCGCCTGTCAGACAATACAACAGCGAGCCTGGACGCCCCAGTATTGAAAGCCAACAATCGTCTACACAGCGTCACAGTGGAACAGGCGCGGCACCCCATCCAGTGACTTACGACGAGCTAAACAGGCTACGCAACACGTGGAAGCAAAACCCCAACGACATTCCTACGGGTCTTAAACTATCGAAGAAGCTCGTAGAAGCATCGAGCGTACTTGCCGATGAAGGAGGCACTGCCGACTCGAGGACGAAGAACAAGAACCGAGAGAAGTTCATCCTCGAAGCCCACAAGATCATCAAGAAGCTAGTCAGCAATGGCTCACCGGATGCCATGTTCTATCTCGCCGATTGCTACGGATCAGGAGGGCTTGGCTTGCAAGTGGACACCAAGGAAGCATTCACGCTCTATCAATCAGCCGCCAAAGGAGGCCATGCCGCAAGTGCATACCGCACAGCTGTCTGCTGCGAGATGGGTCATGAAGAAGGCGGTGGCACCAAGAAGGACCCCCTCAAAGCCGTCCAGTGGTACCGACGTGCCGCCGCGTTGGGCGACCCCCCTGCCATGTACAAGATGGGCATGATTCTCCTCAAGGGACTCTTGGGCCAACAGAAGAACTTTGGTGAAGCCATCAACATGCTCAAACGAGCCGCCAGTCTAGCCGATCGCGACAACCCGCACGCACTCCACGAATTGGCCCTCATCTACGAAGCGCAAACCGGCAACGAACGCGTCATACGCGACGAAGCGTACGCGCTACAGCTCTTCCACCAAGCCGCTGATCTCGGCTACAAATTCTCGCAATTCCGTCTCGGACAGGCCTATGAATACGGGCTCCTGGGCTGCCCAATCGACGCACGTACCAGTATCGCTTGGTACACCAAAGCCGCTGCCCAGGAGGAACATCAGAGTGAACTCGCACTCTCAGGCTGGTACCTAACAGGTACCTCGGGCATCCTCGAGCAAAGCGACACCGAAGCCTACCTCTGGGCAAGGAAAGCAGCGTGCGCGGAACCGCCACTGCCAAAGGCGCTGTTCGCCATGGGCTACTTCACTGAAGTGGGTATAGGCTGCCCTCGCAGTTTGGACGAGGCGAAACGGTGGTATGGACGGGCTGCAGGTATGTTTTGACATCTTCCGGTTTTGAAGAAGAGTAAACGGCTAACAATAGCACAGCATACAAATTCCCCAAAGCTCAAGAACGTCTTGAGGAACTCAAGCGTGGCGGAAGTAAGGTGCAGATGAAGCGTGAACGTCTTAGTCGGACGAATCAGAAGCAACAGGAGGAGAATTGCACGGTTATGTAGTTGTGGGTTGGACTGTACTTTCATCTGGATGATTTGTTTTCGAGGCGCTGTTAGTGTGCGTTTGTCTGGTGTTGTTGGTGTTGAGCATGGAGTTGGAGCATTGACGGTGTCTGCTGGTTTGGTATGTGTCGTTTGATAGCGTTGTAGTACTGCTCAATAGCACGAATTTCACCGCTACTACGTTCTGACTTTAGTACTGTGTTCTGCTGTGCTATATGGGAGATTGCGATGTTTTGGGTATTTCACGTGAGTGTTTCCATACCAAGTCTACGTTTGTGAAGATACACTCTGTACGTTGATTCTCTATGTGGTTGACGCAGTTGTGGCACATACTGCAAGTGTCTAGATGAGTTCCTAGCATGCGTCTTACGTCTATCAGTGAACCGGGAACGATGTAGGATGAGGGGATGTTAGGAGGTAACTTGTGAGAAAGTTAGTAGCTAGAAGATAACGGGTCTAGACTTGAAATTTGTAGCGTTTTTATTAATGTTTGAAATCCGTATCGTCGACAAGGAAATGTGTGCGAAAAACAATGTTGCCTCTTTGCTTCCCTAGATGCCCGGTGAAGTACGATCCAAAAGATATCTGTATACTCGCAAAGAAAGAAAAACGATGTTATACACGCTCGAACATCGGTCCGAAATGCCGCTTAAGCACCGAGATGGGTTATTTATCTCGAGCAATTACAGGGGAATGTTGATGCAGAGCAGGGCAACAAAACGCGGTCTAGTAACTCATATCTCGAGCAATAACACCAACATGATATGCTTCGTATGGCTCAGGAGGTAAATGACAGCATTCTTTGTTGAGGTAATAGGTACCGCTTCCTATTGACTTGAGACGATCGTGGATTTGTACTGCTGTAGGTCTGCTGGAGGGCTCTCGGTTGACCATGCTGGTAAACAAGTCGACAACAATTTCGGGGCGGACGGTAACATATATCTTTGGTACCTTCAGGCGTGAGTCAGCCCACTCAACTACCCTCTCCAGGTTTGCATGAAATGATTCATCGTCACCCTCGCCTCGACGTGCAGTAGAAAAGTCGTGCAGATCTATGCAGCAGATGGTGGTGAGAATCTCGAGATAGACACAGCCGAGCGAGAATATGTCCGCGGAGCGACCTCTTTCTTCCGAATTATATACTTCGGGAGCGCAATATCTCGGGGTCCGCGATGCAGGACCGTCAGTCTGGCTGTGGTCCTGTGAAGCAAAAGAGCGGGAGAGTCCGAAGTCGGCAATGTACACACGCCATTCAGGACCGAAAGACGTTGGGCGTGTTTCTCTGACGAGAATGTTCTGAGGTTTGATATCCATGTGTCTCGTCGTATGCTGATGGATGTAGGCCACAGCAGAGGTAAGACAGCCCACTGTTGAAGCGAGGAAGAAGCGACGTTTATACGGATCGAACCTATGCAAATCCGAGGTATCCTCCATGAATCGACCCAGGTGCATGTCTGCGGCTGGGTACATTAGAATCGAAAAGTTGCGACCCTGGAGGTATGTGCCCACTAGCTGAACAATGTGGAAGTGACGGAGGTTTTGTAAATGATAAACCTCGCGAAGAGCGTCCGCTACTGTCCACTCTCGATTGCATCTCATGGTCTTTCGTGCAAGAGCTATTCGACGACAGATGACTTTGTCAACCGTTGCTGACATGGACGCTCCTAGTGGCGATATCGAAAAAAGTGGAATTGTGTCGTGACTCGTGAATGTTACATGCTGACCCTTTCCAGACCAATTGAGTTCTTTGTCGAAGGGCTGAATTATGTCTTGTTCGCGAAGCGTGGTGTAATAGTCGTTATAGATCTCTACAAGCGGTGCAGAGAGCTCGGAATTGGGCGTTTCGTCTTCACGAATGGATTCAATCATCGTGGCTGAATCATACTCGCCCACTGAAAAGAAAGCGGAATTATCGCGTGATGACACCGGATTAACGAAGGACATTTGACTACGGGCCGTCATGAAACTTCCTATTGAGCTGGTATTGGATACCATTGATCGGTTGATCTGTCGAATTGAAGGGTTTCGGGCCAAGGTCGTTCCAGACGCCGCTCCAGAAGATGTAAGTGTAGACGTGGACGCTACTCGTATGTTTCTGACCGTCAACTGCTCTGACGGTCTCAAATTATCAAAAGACGAGTCCAGCTGCACGTCGACGTAGCGTTCTTTGAGAAGAAAATGTACCAGGTCGACCGGATCCCATGAAGGATTGAGTATTGTGCAGCTGATTAGAGACAGCTGACAGCAAATCACTCCATCGGGTATCGTGACTTCGCCACTGGATGGGGATAACGAATTGGATTTATCGACCCATACGTAGTTGGCATGATGAGTAGACGGATTACGCTCGTCTGGCGTAGTGGGACAAAACTCAAAGTTGGGTGTCTCTAGCACCACATAGGCTGGACGCGATGTAAGAGGGTGTGGGTCCATCTTGAAAGTTCTGGTGTGCCTTTCAAGCAAGGCCCGCATTTTCTCATAGTTTTGCCCGAAATCTCCATTGGCGAATATTGGAGGCATGTGCGGCAACGCTACGCGTCGTCTCGTGACGACGAACTCCTAGATTTCACTGGTGCACGTCAGAACACTTGCTCTCTCAATATGCTCGTAATGCTGGGGTGGTGTGGGAACGAGAACGCGGTTTACCGTTGGAAGGAGGAAGAGATGGGTGATCCGGAGAGATGGAGGCGCGGCAGGAGCAGAAGCTGAGATAACAGGCTCAGCACAGCCTCCCATGCACCTTCCTGCAGCTTCGGACAACAAGGGCAAAGCGCACCAATGGCCCAGCTCACGCCAAACATTCAGCCTTGTGAGTATTTGTGGGTAAGTCATCATGGGAAGGTGACTACAATACGCGCTCACTGGGCATTGGGCGTTAAAAATTGAAGGGCCGGAGTTCAAATTTGAAGCTGGACTCACAGGCTCCAGTAAAGCTTCATACGCACCTTCCTGCGGCTCCATTGGACGAGAGAAAAGTGCATCGTCGAGCGAGCCCAGCCCGGTCCTTCAGCCTTGCGAAGAGGCGTGGATAAACAGTCAACAAAAAGTCACCACAACACGCGCTCATTCCAGGAGTGTCAAGCGTTGCTGGAAACATCGGCTTACAACGTTCGTAAATTGTAAGAGGAAAGTATTGAGCGGAGACTTACTGGTGAGCATATTAGTCCATGAAGGCGTAAACGAAGGGCAGCCATGGAAGCATTCGAAATGAACATGCATGAAAGAAAAAGCACCGAACGAGGCGACCGACGTGGAAGTGCAGACGGAACACTGCTTGCGATGTTCATGATATACAAAAAAATATGTGTACATGCCAGTATCTCACCCATCCAATCCCGTCATGATCATGAGCGCGGCCGACTCTCATCACCCTTCTTACTCTCATTAACCAGCGCGCCCCAAGCATCACCACCCGCACTCCTCTCCCGCTCCGCAGCCCGATAAATCTCACTCAGACTACCACCACCAGTCGCGCGTAGACCTCCATCCCTGTCCAACTCCAAAATCGACTCGACGTAATCCTCCTCACCACCAGCAAGCCTATGCTTGATAGCCAGATCCGCCTTCAGCAGCGCGGTTTCGAGGTATGCCCTTCGTTCGGGATCCATGTTCTCGTTGGTAGAAGCCGTTTCCGCTTCCGCGATGAGAGAAGCGTTGTAGGCTTTCTTGTTGGCATTGTAAGCTTCGATGCCACCTGCTTCTGCTACCTTCGCGTCGTGAGCGGCGCTCTTGATCTTGCTCCAGGCTTCGATGCCGCCGGCTTCGTCGATCTCTTTGCGTCTCCGCTGGTTGAAGGTGATTCTCCTGGCGGCGTTATCGCTGATGTCAGGGAGGTTGAACTTCGACCTGGTTTCATCTAGGTCTTGCTGTGTGATGTCTGCTTCTTTCACTATCTGTTTCTTTCTGAGTCTCTCTGCTTCGCGCTCTTTGGCTCGGATGAAGGCTAGTTTGAGGCCCTCTTCTATGCTGTCGACGGCGTCGCGGGATACGTAACGCTCTGCGGCCTTGACTGCTTTGGAGTACTCGAGGGCGGCATCGGCTCGCACTTTGTACGCTCTTGGGCCTTTTTTCTTTGGGTCGGTAATATCTTTGACTTCCTCTCCGGACCACATCTCTTGGTCCTCCGTCTCCATGAACTCTAGGTCCTCCTGCGCGCCGTCGGGCATGCTTTGGGAGAGCGTACCGTGGGCAGCTTTTTCCTCGGCCATCATTTGGGGTGTAGGCCATTGCTTGTCGATTGTGGCCTGGTCTATGCCAAGAGCCGCAGCTTCTGCCCGTAACCGATCGATGACTTCCGGCTTCTGCATCAGTGTCCATCGCAGTGCCCATCCCATTGGCCCAAGCTCTTTGATGCGTGCCACATTGTCCTTGAGCAGGTATTCGTCCAGCCCACCCTCACGATCCATTGTCTTGAGAACCTTGGCGGTGATGCGCAGCTTTATCTTCTTCTTCAGTGCGACCGAGTATAGACTTTTGGAGAGCACATTGGGCTTCCAGTTGCGCCGTGTCTTCGTTTCGGTGTCTTTGGAGACATTGTTGCCAAAACGTATCATCTGGTCGCCATAGAGACCCTTGTTGGCCTGCTTGAAAAGCTGATGGGCGCCATAGGGATATGGGGGGATGTATGCATCTTTAGGGATGATGTTTATGGGAAGATGGGAGCCGAGATCACCGCCGCGTCGTCGCTGTAGTGGGTTCTTCACTGCGGGAGTGGGCGCCGTCGTCGCGTACGTTCGGCATGTTGACTGCGCCGGGCGAAGGGCCAATCCTTGGGCTGCGGTGCGCCCAGCGATCAATTGACCTCGGGCGTGCATTGTGTGAGAGGATCGAGACAACGGTGGTGCCGTCGTGATGGAGTGGGCAACGTGCTCGGTAGTCCGCAAATTCGAGATGTTGCAAGCACGGACCCTCAGCCTGACGTTTAGCTCTACAATTGCGGGCGGGAGTGCCATGGAACTTCATGACTCTCCCAATCGCCTGAATTCTTTCCCATAAATCACTCATACCCGAAATTCTTCTGTTGTAAAATTACTGTTCTTCATACATTGTGTCCTACTTCCAACCGCGCACATGGCAGACACTCCCCAACAACCCTCTACTGCAAACATTGCAGCCGCATGCGCCATACTTGCTGGTGTAACAGGCTACATGATCGGACAAGCAAAGTCACTTGGTTTCCTCGGAGGCAGCCCAATCTCTCAACCAAAGAAATCCGAGAAGAAAGAAAAGGCAGAGGACTCAGAAGATTCAGAAGACGAGTCGAGCGATGAAGACGACGACAGTGCGCCTGCAGAGTTCCCAGGTCACAACGAGGAGTGCAAGATGGTATTGGTGGTACGAACAGATCTCGGCATGACAAAAGGTATTGCGATTCTTGACACATTTCTATTATCTACAAAATGTCTAACCATACAACAGGAAAGATTGGCGCACAATGCGGACACGCGACATTAGCCTGCTACAAGCACTTCCTCCGACACGCACCGGAATCGACGTTGCTAAAGCGCTGGGAGCGAATGGGACAAGCCAAGGTGGCATTACAAGTCAAGAGCGAAGAAGAGTTAGAGTTGTTGCAGGCGCAGGCACTGAGCCTAGGATTGGTGGCACACATTATCCACGATGCGGGACGGACACAAATCGCGAGTGGAAGTGCGACAGTACTGGGTATCGGTCCTGCACCCAAGGGCGTCATAGATCAGGTTACTGGGCACCTCAAGTTGCTGTAAAGGGGCCTTGGGTATGGCGCTGCGTGCGACCCTGTTGACCAACGCAGTGGAATCAACTGAAAGGGCAAGGTGACGCCACGTCTCGATCATGACTCGTATGCATACCCGAGAGCTCTGGAGCAACGGTCGTGAAGCTCGCGTCCGGTCAGGAGCGTGTGGTGATGGGAATTCGAGACGAAATTGCATGATGCACAAAGGCAATTTGCAAGATTCGGGAATTTTCGCCGAACATGGCGGTGAAACGTACGCAGGACGGCTATGGCGGTTTAACTGTAACGCGTGTACGGGTGCGCTATTCACCGGAGGCGAGAACAAACGAAAATGTCGAGTGCGTCTTGCTGTTGAGCGACGCGTGTTGTCCAGGGACTCCTGCTGGCAGCCGCGGGACGGGCCCTGGCTGCCCAACAAATGCTAGCTGCCATGTGCGCATGATTGATGGAATTCCGCGCGCCTGGGAAAGATCTACAGGTCTCGTGATATCAAAATAATCATAGCTTCCGTGCAGCGCAGAGGAATGATGTGCATAGAGCTTGCGCAGTGTAACTGTTTACCTTGTATGGGGAGGAATGTGATGCATTAGTGGTTCGTGGAGCGTGTAACAAGGTATGACGTGCATACACTAGGCGGAAGCAATAGTGGCGGTGGTCGATGAGTTGTTGCGATGTCGCCCGAGGTGAGCAAGTACAGAGATATAGTGCGCGTAAAACCTGCCCACACGTGGACACTGAGATGGGCGCGACATTTGTCTGTCCCAGATTGTGGTATCGAGCCGAGATATTGCCTGGCTGTTTGAGAGTTACAGCACACCTAGGTAATACTGAGTGGAGCTCTGCACCAAAGAGGAAGCGGGTACAAGGATGCCTGTCATACCATTATTCTACTTATGCCAGAAATTGCAGCGCTTCATGCAGCAGCGGCACCTCTCCACCAGCTCGTGGCGCCTAAGACGAATACTATCACCATAGCGTCGCTCACAACTGTTTTGTAGATGACGCTGTACCTGCCCACAGTCCTCACATAGCCCGAATACGGTGCTGGTAGGATGCCAGCGACAGTGCTGAGAATGCCGCTTCCCTGTAATTGGCCCTTTTCGATAAAATAGCGCGAGGACTGCAAGACCACCTCGAAAGTTGCAAAGAGATAAAAGAAGTGCGCAAAGTTCTGCGCCGGGGTCGATTGGCTGACCCAGTCATCCTCCAGCACATTATCGCGTGACATCTTGGATCCAGTAAATGGTGTTTGCAGGACAATGTAGACGGCGAGGCCAAACGAGAAGACAGAATGTACCAAGCGCCAGATCCACGCAGAGGATTGCTCTGGCAGCGGCTCGGAGGCACCGGCACCACCCTGCATGGCTGAGAACATACTGGCAAGATCGGGTGGCATGCCGCCTGGTGGTGCACCGCCTTGACCTGGGGCACCGGGCATGCCAGGCATACCGCCTGCGCCTGCGCCCATCATCTGCTGGAGCATGGCCATCATGGGATCCTGCGACGCATCCGTGCCTGGGCCGGGGCCGAATGGGCCGGACTGGCCACCCTCGAAAGCGAATGGCGAGGGAAGACGAGGCTGCGATGCCGGCGCGTAGTGGTGTTGCGAAATATCCACCTCATCTGGATCTGGAGTAGCCGTGCCAGACCCAGCGGGTGTAAACTGGGACGGGGTGGAAGCGGGTTTGACTAGAATGCCATTAGCCGTGCATTCACGCTGTTGTAGGACGGAGCTAGGGGGGACTATGTGGAGGCTAATGTATTCCAAAGGGAGGAGCCGTTACCTGGCACGTCTTTCTCGAGTTCGCTGAGCGGCTTTGGTGGGCCGCCCTGGAGAGCAGTAATCTGCTGGAGACGTGAGGCGCCGGATTTGGCAGCCAGCCGCTCTCTGCGCAGTCTGGCCTTGGTCTGGGCGGGCGACTCGCCGGGCAGCGCGCTAGTCGCGGAAGCGGGAGAATCAGCCATGGCAGCGGTGGGGTGATGTAGAGAGTTGAGTTGTCGCGGTAGTTATCAATCGTGATCGCAGCCCTCACTATTGTTTGGAGGGGCTGAGGTCATGGCTTGGCGCGAAACTAGCGGAAGGCGCGACGGAACGTCGGAATCTCCCCGCTAGCACTGGCACTATCTGCACCTCTTCACATGAACGGCGACATGCCGAGCGTCTCCTTGCCACTCCCGACGTGTGCTAACCTCTCACTCGATCGCAACACTATTGCGAAGTTTGCCATCCCGACAGCCTGGGTCACTATCGCCCGTCACACGCGCGGTACGGGCCGTGTGATGTCCATTTGCCGGTCATCTTTGACCGATTAGGCTGGCCAGCAATCCTGCCTCTGGTGGAGTCGCTTGAGCTTACGACTTTCTTACGAACATGGCAGCCCAAAGGATTCCGCGGATGCAAGTTCTATGTCCACTCAACATACGAGGAAAGCTACTGCAGTATTCGCCTGCTGTACCACTAACATGCATGCCGCATGCAGCTTCCGGGCCTCTGGCTTGACCCGAGGATCGGGCCCATGGGAGGAGATATGGAAGCGATCCTTGTAGACCTGCGGTTTTCTTGCATGTCGGTCCCCAGTTCCAGCCAGTACAGGATGGACTACTTTGCTTCGTAAGCCCCTTTTCGATACGCATCCTCGCCTGCCCACCAGCTATGACTCAAAGTTATCTGATTGATCCTGGGACCCTGATGGCCGCCGCATGGGAAATCTGTATCAAGCGATATTGTGATACGAATGCCCTGCCAGTGCCATTTCACCATTTTTCTGGAGCTGGCGCCGTGCTATGTTTTCTCCACTGGGCGTTTCTGTCACTATAACCCCTATACACACCATGCGGACCATGGCCAGTCACTCTCCTCACCCACATGTCACCGAATTCGTTAAATCGCTGTAGCGCTGCGCCCGAATAGGTCATGAAGGATGGCCCTCAGCAAACTCCAGGCCCAAACACATCCTAGAGATCTCCTGCATCCGATAACGAATTGAACTTGGCGGTAGTCGAGCGTGCCTGCCCAATTCTTTCAGATTGCAAAAGACCCACTTTAGCGGTTGCTCCTGCTCCTGTCGTAGCACAGCATCTATATCGCTCCTACCTAGACGACGAGGCGAGCGACAGCTCCTTCCATCGGGTTGTGCAACGCGTGTGACGCGCTCGATAAACACGTTCCCTACTCTTGAAAATTTATTTCTAGCTTTGGTTTCGTCCCAGCCCATCTTCCCACATTCCTCCTTCTTGTGACATCCACCTACCGACATGTATCCAAGCATGTTTGTTCCAAGCACCATGGCTGGGAGACAGCCTTTCCGGTCGGGCTTCACTTGCGCAGCACGTCTACTATCGAATCACAGAAGTCAATCGACCTTGTCCGCTCAGAAACCCTACTGGGATCATATCCAACCATGGAAGGACGTATCCAATGAGGAATTCATATCTTACAGATGGCAGGTACGTCGATACAAATCTCTTTGGATCCCCACAATACACGATTGAATACAAGACTGACTTCCTTAGCTTCGCAATACCGTCTCCGATAAGCACAAGCTCTATCAGTTCCTCAATACAGCTTTGCCCGACAAACTACTTCGCTCGCAGCATGATCAACTCCGCAAGATTCGTACGAAGAGCGATTTCATCGAGGATGCTGTGCGTAACTCATCAACTCGCACCACCCTGTACACATGTTGATGCTGACACGGATACAGATTGCTGCTATCAAGCTGGCACCCATGGCTATCCGCCTAACACCACACGTACTCTCGCTTGTTGATTGGCAAAACGCTGTGGATGATCCTATCCGGCGACAATTTCTCCCACTTAGAAGCGGCATCATCCCCGATCACAAGAACATGGAGCTGGACTCATTACACGAAGAAGCAGACAGTCCCGTCCCTGGATTAGTCCACCGATATCCTGGAAGAGCTTTGTTCCTGGCCACATCAATCTGCCCTGTCTACTGTCGCTTCTGTACGCGCTCCTACGCAGTCGGAGGAAACACCGATACCGTATCGAAGAAACCACAAAAGCCCAGCCGCAAGCGATGGGAAGTCATCTTCGAGCATATTGCCAACGATGAGTCGCTCGAAGATATTGTTGTTTCCGGCGGCGACGCCTACTTTTTGCAACCAGATCACATCAAAGAGATTGGAGAAAGACTACTCAACATCCCACATATCAAACGGGTCCGGTTTGCTTCGAAGGGCCTGGCCGTAGCTCCTGGTCGCATACTTGATGATAGTGATCCATGGGTCGACAGCTTGATTGAAGTATCTAACAAAGGTCGAGAGTAAGTCATTCATCTACCCACCTATGTGTAATGAGGCTAATACGACTGCGCAACTTTCAGCATGGGCAAACAAGTCTGCCTTCATACTCACATCAACCACGCCAACGAGATCACGTGGATAACGGAGCTGGCCGCGAACAAGCTTTTCAAGCATGGAGTCATTGTGCGCAACCAGTCCGTTCTACTGAAGGGCGTCAATGACGATTTCGGACCGCTGTCAGACCTCATCAAGAAGCTCTCAAACATCAACATACAACCGTACTACGTTTATCAATGTGATATGGTGCAGGGCATCGAAGATCTCCGGACACCTCTTAGCAAAATCATCGACCTCGACAAGGAACTCCGAGGAACTCTTTCCGGCTTCATGATGCCGTCATTCGTCATCGACCTTCCCGGAGGTGGCGGCAAGCGCCTGGTTTCCACGTATGAGAAATACGAGGACGGCGTTGCGGAGTACAAGGCGCCTGGCCTTCCGGGTACAAAAGGCACGAGAACATACACGTACTTCGATCCGAAACCTGTTGAGTCAGCCGTGCTGGAAGAGTTCCGACAAGGCCAGGTCCAGGCTCTGGAGAGAGGCGAGACGCTCGAGCAGTTCTTTGCCAAGTCACCTCCTCGTCCACCAATCCCTACCGGGCCAATGCTGCCTACGCCAGAGCAATCTCCCCGGCCATATCCAGGTATGATGGTGGAGCGACCCCAGCCATGGACACATGAACAAGCGGGGACTGAATCGGCATATGCGTAATCACGTGATACGCGTTACGCCCTCGCTAGCAACAGCGTCTTGTACGACACACACATTTTCCAACTTCAGAGGCGCGGCATTCGAACATAGACATACATTGACGACGAAACGGCCACATACCATCACGGCCGCCACCCTTGACTCTCTTCTGGTTCAAACAGGATACGAATTTGGCCCAACGTTTCATACCACCTTATAATATCCGCTCACTTCTTTGTATCCGTTATCATCTTACATGTTCTTTACCGTCCGTTCTTTGTATCAAGAATGGTACTGCAGATACTGCGTAAAAGTTTGACCAATTGAAATGTTAAATCTACATAGATATATCCATGTTGAATTTCACCCTTTGTTTCTCATACCTCCGACTATGAATGCTCTGTCCTCGTTAGCGCCGCGGATTTATAACATAAGTACCTATATGCACTCATCACCATCATCCGATGTCATAACCCAAGAGAAGGCTTCGTTGTCGCAGCTTGTTAATCGCATCTTCCTGCACGCTTCGCCAGATAGTCTGCTTGTAGAACTCGTTCAACGCATGTCCACCGCCAACCCACGATCACACTTTCTCAAGCGCCCATCTTAGAAGGTAACATGCCCGAAACTAGCTGCCTAGCTCTCAAAACATAAAAGCCCTTCTCGGGATACCCTTCTCCGCCGCGAAAGTGCGCGTAGTGATCGTGGCTGAAACTTTCCTGTTTTCCTGCTAGACTCTGATCGATGCTTTACATCTTCTGACATGTACCAGAGTGTTGTTTAGACCCACAAGGCCTGGATCGAGGCCTTTTGCGAAACATGCACATGCCGACATTACTAGAAAGAGCTGTAGTTATAGTATCCATGCGAGGTGAAAAGGCATAGGACCTGCAAAGGCTTCATATGATCCGTAGATCAGCGCGCGTAGTGTGCCCTGTATACGCGATTTTGGGTTGAGAAGATGATATTAGGACTGTTTTCGTTTTGTGCTACCGCGGTCATCACAGAAGGCCCACCAGAGAAGATATTTGAAGAAGCACTTGTTTAAATAAACATTATGGAATTAAGTAAGAATTGTCCCAAGACTTCCCTGCCTTTCTGAGCTCTACTCGGGTATACTAGTATCTCTCTAGCACCCCAAATAGAAGTCATCAAGGCGGAATGTTTGAGCACCGTCTGCAGTAATCAAGCATCTTAGCGTCCCAGTGGTTCCTGTAGCTACAAAAGTCTTTCCATAATTGGAGGGTCCTGAAATCCAAGAGTTGACCCGCCCGTCGCTCGTAACACTCTGTGAGCCTTGTCCTGTAGGCATGTCGCAATTGATAGAGCTGGCCGGAGAGTCCGTGACGAGATACTTGTACGAGAATGTGTACGTAACTCCTTGGGTCAGGCCACGCACTCCCTGTACTAGGACCATGGCGCCGCCTGTTTTGGCCGTTGTTACGCGGAAAGAGGAGCCGCCACTGGACCCACCACTAATCACTCCGAAAGCTGGCGGCATTTCCTGCCCGTTCCAGTTTGTCTGTGGCCAACTCTTCGCACCATCCTCGAAGCCGCCGTTTTTAATGAGGTTGACGCCGCTGGCAGTGCATGTCGGCGCCGCAGCAACTACCGAGGTGACAATGGTAGTGCGGACAGGCAGAGTGGTAGTGACTAGTACAGTACCGGAACTAACGGTCGCAGTGGTCGTAGTAGACGTAGTAGTGGTTTCTGTGACGGGGGTAGCTTGGAGGCTGCAGGCTGCAGAGACAGCACTGGGAGCAAAGTCGGCAAGAGCAGCAGGCGTGTTCTGAATAGCAACGTCGCGCTTTTGCGGAGCTTGAGTGACCGTCGTGGTAGTCGTGGTCACAGGCGCATCGGTGACAACAACAGTCGTTGCGGGAACAGTAGCAGTTACAGTGGCGATAACAGTCGAAACTTGAGTTGTGTATCCAAGAAACGTAGAGCAGAACGGCTGTAGCGACGAAGCAATGATGGCAGACTTGGCGGCGGCGACATCGCAGGGCAGTTTAGGCTTTCCAGGATCGGCGGTGTTGGAGTAGGAGTAGCTGGAAGCAATCGTGTAGTGGTCGTCTCCACGGTACTGGCCATCGTTGACAGCCACGCTCTTCGCCCATTTCTGGGTGTACATGGAGCAGTATTGGCCTTGGGGCTCGCCGTTCTTCATCAGGACGTAGGTGTTGAAGAACTTGCATAGCATGCGGCTGTTGAGGTGCTCGACGTTCCACTTGGTCTCGGCTTCGCATGCGGCGGCGCAGCGGGCGGGTTCGAAGGGCTGGCCATCGTTGAAGAGTTTGTAGCCCATGTACTAGACTGAAGTCAGCGGCTATATGTGGACGAGGTTGTTATGAAGTGCTTACAGTATCGTCACCGTTGCAGTCGTTCGGGGCGTTGATTGCGACGTTTCCAAGAGACTCGCCGCTGTAGCCGTCGACAGAAACTACGCGTTCACTGTCATAGCCTGAGATTTGTTAGAAATCTTGCGATTCGAGCACATCAAGCGTTCATAGACATACCGTTTGATCCAGCAATGACTACGTGGAAATCAGCGCGCCACTGTCCGCTATTGACAGCTGTTTCGGCGGTCACAGGGCTGCCCCACAGTACACACTTGATGACTGTAGTACTAGCAGGATTGGCGCAGGAATCAGCAGGAACAACCGAAGGGTCCCTCTCGTAGACTGTATACATTGTTAGTAAGAGATGACTAGGTAATGCTTCGAGGAGTAACACTTACAGATGTTGAACGCTGAGCACCCTTCCTTCTCAGTGCAAGAGTCGGCACAGGCTTGGGTGTCGTAGGTATCCAAGGTCTTGTACCCAAGATATGCCACGGCGTTGTTGCTGCCCTTCAAGTTCTTGAACTTGCTGACATAGCCAGCTGGTGTAGAGGCATCAGTAGCAGCCTTCGAGATCTCTTCCATAGCTAGAAAAGCTTCTGGACTGTCTGGGCTCGGGACAGGTCCTTTCCCAAGAGGCTGTTCTGAGCAGTCCCAACCTCTCCGCTTCAGCGACTTGTCGGCGGAGGCAGGATCCGCGAGGACTGAGGCAAAGGTGTCGGCAACCACAGCATCTGGAGAATAGGGAACGACCTTGGTACCAGCACCCTCACCAAGCGGAGTCTCAGTGATTGGTGCGGCGGGTATCTCAGCGACCTCACCGAGAGGAATTGATTGAGGAAGAGCTGCTGCGCAGCCTGTCATGGCCAAAGCCGCGAAAGCGTGAACCGAGCGCATGTTGAACGAAAGGGAGAAGTAGAAGGCTGAGGAGAGGATGTCGGCGATTGCTGCTGATGACTTCCTCTGTACCTGGACACAGACAACTCTTATAGCTATTCATGTTGGAGGTTCACAACACACTCCAGCGGAGCTGCCGATGCGATAGATCTGTGGCGTTGGTCTCGAAGTATCATGGTGAGCTGAGTTCGACGAGCCTCGTCCCCAGATTCTTTCAGCCCGTTCGAATGTGCAGATTGGACAAGGGACTAAACTCGCGTGATGGTAAGAGTGTGTACATAGGCGAGGATGCCAAGCGCAGACCAACGATAGCTGGACATGGCCTCGAAGTGCAGGGCTGAAAAGAGGTCCCCGATCTGGTAAGACGAGTACTTGGGCTTTCCATGACTAGAATGAATGCGGAGTCCAGCAGTCTCGTGGGAGACGAGACGTCGCTCGATCAATCCGACATCTCGGGAGGATGGTCTGGGGACTCGGGCGTGAGCGATGTTAGCGGCGGCATTTCACCACGTGCGCTGCGAGAGTCTTGCCGAAGCCTTCCTCACTTGGGCACTATCTCTTCGTTGTTCAACCCGATGCAGCACAAGGGAGGTGAAACTAAGTTCTTTCCCCTGGTGAAAGTGTACACATCGAGGTAAGCGAGGATCGCTACCTTTATTGGTGGCTTGCTGGCGCCTCAGAGCGGCTCGTGCCTGAGCTAGAACAAAAGGTCCGAGCCAACAGCCTCTCCAGCCTCGCTGGGCCCAGGCTTCCCCACGATAAATGCACACTAACTGGCAAAGCGACATCTAGGCCATCGATGGAAACACCGGAAAAGAGTGTGCGTTGTTAGATCTAACTGCTGTTTGCCATGGTGGTCTCGTCTCCCGCCGGTCACCGCCGCGTGCGCCCACGAACGATCACGGGAAAAGCATTCGGTACCACGACCTTGGGAAGGCAGTAGCAAGCCACAAGACGAAGATAGACGCAAGGCTCAAATCGATGTCAAACAGAACCCACGTCAACATCGCATCATCGCAACCTCATGCTCCCAAGGTCTGTTTGAATGGTAACAAGCTATACAATGGCTGCATAGATGCGTTGGAATTTCCACCAAGTCGCGTGTATACAAGCCTTCACAAGGGTCCTCACGCACCAAGAGCGCCAGCGCAGAACAAGCGGGAACTCCGCATATAAGCGAAGGCTGTGGCTACCTGAGCATCTCAGTCTATCCCCTCACTCCTGATGAACACGACAAAGGTCTAGCGCCACCAGTGTGCTCGCTGGGAAAAGGCTAGCACGAGCTTGATGCAAATTTGTGCCTGGGGATGGCTATGGAATCGAACGACAACACTAGCATTCGTTATCGTGTATCTGTTACTCCTCATAACATTCAATCAATAAATGTATGCAACGAGTTCAGTACATACACATGAGTGCTTGAGGTCTCTGTACCAGTGGATAGCGTGTCTCGTAGTGCAAACTCCTGGAGATTATACCACGAAACACGCTATCCACTGATACAGAGACCTCAACTCCCATAACCTCCACCCCTCACAACCCCCTAGCCAACTTCGCCGCCGTCTTCAACCCAGTTCCCGGCCTAACATCCCCAACCCACATACTCTCCGCATCCCCATCAATCCCCTTCCTCGCCTTCTCAAACGTCTCCTCCATCTTCGTCCTCAACCCGCCCTCCTCATCAACCCCGCTATCCTTACCCCACAGCTCCAACGCCCTTTCCATATCACCACAAGCAAAGATATACTCGCCCAAAGCCATATGCACAGTACCAAGCACATACCACGTCTGCGCCCTCTCGCGGTCGGTGAAGAAAGAGGGTTTGTTGGGTGGGATCAGCTCCACGGGGATGGAATGGAACCAAGGATTCGAGGTGGGGGAGGGAGCGTCGCATGCCAGACTCAAGGCTTGAGAAACTGATTTCTCGGCTTGGAGTAGGTCTTTCGCTGCTTTTCTGATCTCGTCTGTTGGGTTCGAAGTTCTCAACCAGTGCTTCGTTGATGTGAGGCCCCGAAGCGGAATGGAAAGACTGATACCGAGGCCCAGTTCTGTCTTCCAGCGTAGTCGTTGCATGGACTTGTTGAAGTCCTCCTCTTGGGAATGAAGTGTTTCGGCATGCGTCAGGTAGCCGTACGTCAGCGCGATGATAGTAGCTTGAGCATACTCATTCGCAAGCGTATACTCTTCCTTCTCTCTCGCTTCATCCGCCAGATCAGCCAATTCATGTACACTGGCCACATAACTTTCTGCCGTAAACTTCTCGCCCATCATATTGTTCTGCAGACCCTCCGCGTACCGCGGAAGCAGATTCTGGCCATCAACTTCTACCTTGCCAAAACCGCTCATCAGACGGAACAGCTCGAGCAGGTCTCCTTGTAGTTTTGACACGGGGAATCCATACGTGTTTACTACATTGAGGAAGAGACTACGTCCTTGAGCCCATGTCTTCGTTGCGCGGCTTGCTTGGTCAAGGAAGTTGATAAGCCGGGGGAGGTATTGAGCTGGGAACATGACGGAAGCGCGTTTCTGCGCGCTGTTCTTCTCCACGAGGACAATTTCAAGGGCGTGGCGCGTGCTCTTCTCTACGACCTCGCTCTTCGCCGTTGAGAAGAGGAGCCCAGAATCCTCGAGCAACGTCTTCGCGTGCCGGGCGTCGCTTGTATAAACATCGAATCTGACCCACAGATTCTTCTCGTAGAAATACGACAACGCATCTTTGCTTATCTCCTTGTTCACAAGGAACAGCGCTGTGTTCACGGGAAAGGGGTTGCGTGACGCGGAGAAGGTCAAGATGCCTTCGTCTTTGGAGATGGTGTGCGTGTAGGACACGTTGGGTGCGCCGTGGTTTACGAGCTCGGTGTCGAGACAGTGCTTGTAGATGTTATTGCGGACGGAAGGGGGGAGATCGGTTAGACCGAGAGGTCGCTTTCGTGGAGTTTCGGCCAAAGAAGCCGCTTTCATTTTGGTGGCGAGCGTGTTGGCGGTGGCTTCCATTGAGTCGCGCTTTTCGGCTGGGATTGGGGCGGTGGTTGCCATGGTTGGATTTTGGGAGGTTGGAAGGGCTTGGTTTGATGTTAGTTGGGTTGAACGGACTTCGCGACATTAAGTTATGATATCGCCAAATAGCATTGCTTTTGCTTTTGCTGCTTACCTGGTTCCAGTAGCTGAACGAGTGCTGTGACTCAATCTGGTGATGGTGTTGGCAAACTTCAGGCCGCTGAACGCGATTCGCAAGCTCAACAACGTCAAATGTCAACTCAATTGATCAAGAAGCAACCAAAGAGGAACGAATATGATCCTACGAGCAAGCATGAGCTTCATTGCGGGGTTTTATAGCTATCCCCAGCTACAGAGGGGTACCTGCCATCAAGTGCGGGGAAACAAGGATACATGTGGAGATCACCAGTACACGCGCGTGCGGATCCGAGTATGTTCCGCTTTCAACTTATAAGCTTTCTGGCTATACAACTACACAGCCAAAGTACATGCGTAGTGCTGATGGCACGCGCACGTGAAAGGTGCGGGGAAGCTCTAGTCCGCCCAATCGGCCGCTAGCCACCTCCGCGGGGTTGAGCCTCATTGTCAGGTACGTACATGGCCGATCTACTCTACGAATGCGGTAAATGCCTTGAGCTGCTTGGTAGCCTTGAACTCTAGCTCTACACCTGGAGCGACGAAGAAGATGTAGCCGGCGCTTAGCTTGTATTCCTTGCCGTTGCCCTTCATGGTTCCCTCGCCTTCGGTCACGATCATGACACTTGGTCCACCGAGCGACCGGATCGTCTCGGAATCGCCATCGCCCATGGTTGTGGCTAGCATGCTGAATTCGCTTAGAGGTGGTGCGTACAGCTGCGTCTTGCCGTTCTTGCTTCCATCGAAAGACTTTGCTGGTAGGATCGCCTCCTTGGCGTCATGTGGTGTGAAAGTCAAACTTGAGCAGAACATGTCGATGTTGTCGCGGTCGGCGCGTGGGCAGAAACCAGTGTTCAAGACGTTGTTCGATCGGGCCATGCACTCGATAATATCACCGGAGAGATACGCGTGGATGCCGTCGGCGGGGATGTAGATGCTGTCGCCAGCCTTGAGCTGGAGGTAGTTCATGGTGATGAGAGCAACAAGGGTTCCGTTGTCGGCCTTGTCATACTGCTCAGCCAAACGAGGAATCATGTCTGGGATGTAGCTGTGTTCGCCGAATTGCTCCTTTGGAATCTTCATGAGTGCGTCGTTGGTTTTGCGTACAGCATCCTCAGACGCCAACAGCATTTCCTTGACAACGTGCTTCAGAGTTTGGTCGTCGAACTCAGGCTTCTTGACCTCTGGAAGGAAGGCTTGGAGTGGCGGTAGCTGCATCAAACGCTCGATGTCTTTCAGTTGCTTGAAGCCGCAGAAAGCCTCGAAGTCGCCGAGAGCCAACGCGATCTCTGGCTTGTGGTTGGGGTCGGTGAACTGATCCGGGTTCTTTGCGTGTAGCTTGGAAGCTAGGTCTTTGTTCTAATATTGTGTTAGTTGAGGAGATGACCGATGTAGAGACGAACATACTGGGTGCAGTTGCAGAGGTAGGGCCTTCGCTATCGACAGGACCTTGGGCAGATATGGCAGCTTGGTGTGGTTGAACTTCTCGGCAGTGGTCTTTCCCACAAGCTCATCAGGGTGTCTGTCGAGCACTTTTTGAAGGTCCTCGCCAGTCTCTAAGACATATGAAGGCAATTCGGGATAAGTGCCCATCCACCTGAAGATGTTAGACTGCATTCGTCGAAGTAGTATTGGCAACTTACATCTCAGCGTAACTTGTGTTCTCGTCAATCTTGAATTGTGTGCCTGGTGTCTTTTCGCACAAAGTCGCCGCCAGAGACTTTGAGCCCTGCTTTCCCCATGGGTACTGGTTGCACTCGCATCTCAGCTGCATAACCTTTTCGACCATGATTGCGGTTTGCGATTTATTAGGTAGGTTAGGATGAAGTGTGGTTCGAGAAATTAGTCGTGAGTTGGAAGTGAATTGA